ATTGTGTGCTCAGGAAGGTGGTTTTCCCTCAGAGAGATGGTGCCAGGGAGCTGGGCAGGGCCCATGGGTGGGCAGGGGCTGGAGGCCAAGTTACCACTATGAGAAGTGAATGGAAGGTTCCTGAAACGTGAGGAACTGTCTCAGCATGTGGCCATCTTGAAGTTCTCAAAACCCATCCCCAAATGGGGCCATGACCTCCCTGGAAGGGAACGTCTCTCTGAGCGGCTCTAGGCCTGGCTGCATGCCCTGCCCACCATCCCCCACCTGGGCCCAGACCCAGTGGGACCTGGAATTCCCTGTTTGCTCTAAAAGTGCCTGTGGCTTCTCTAAGAATTTCTCATCCTGATGTCCCTTCAGGGTTCAGGAGATTGAAGGGCCTAAGGGTAGATTGCACCAGATTCCTCTGCAGCAGATGAGATAGTCTCAGGGAATTAAATGTAATTGGAGATGAGACGCAATCAGAAACACCCTGCACGGGCCCTCAAGGCTGGGGCTCTTCTGTCCTGAGCACTTGTGTCTCTGTAGAGGCAGGAGCTCCTGCTGCAGCCGGGAGTTCTCCCCTCTCCCTCCCACCTGGGTTTTCACAAAGAAGCGGGGCAAGCCGAGGTCTGCTTCCAGCACCCTTCATGCGTGTGCCCGCCCCTGTGCACGGCACCTGTGGGGCTGCGTTTGTATGCACAGTTTTATTCACCCGCCCCTTGGGGGTCCTGGAGAGCACAGACTTCGGGGCACAGAGAGAAGTTTCCTCCCGAGGGGCCTGCAGCACCCCCTCCCCCCGCCCCCCAGGGAGCATCTCGGCCTCCTTGGGGTGGAGCCCCGCGCATCGTTTAGGGGAGCTCGGGCTCAGAAAACACAGCTGTCTCCACAACTGAGGCCTAGGATAAGGTTTCTGGGCGTTTTATCTCAACGTCTTGGTGGGATAAGGTTTAAAGATCAACATGCGAAGATGCCAGGGTGTGTGATCCCACATCAGGGGGCAACATAACAGCAAACTCGCCAAGGATGAAACTCTGGGTTTGTCTTGGAAAATGAAATTGAACGCAGTGGCTTAGTTTTGTGGCCGCCCCTGTTTTGCCCAGAGTC